GGCCCGAGGCATGATGTTGAGAGGAGGAGGGGTTCAGAAGATGATGCAGCTGCTGGGTTTTGGCCAGTGAATAACCCTAATTTAGTCAGTTGATACTTTGCATGTCCGCCAGTAGTCAAGGGCTGCAAAGCAGTGAATAAGAAACATCATCAAGCTTCACTGAGAGCCTGTAAAGGTTTTTACAGAGCAGCAAATAGAAGTATTAAATGAGAGCAGGGAAAGAAAACAACTCTGTTAGTCGTATATTCTCATCACCACGAGGGAAAACCCACCAGAAAAGAGCAGCATCTTTACCTTTACTCTGATCTGGTGACATCTCAGACTCAGCTTGTCAGGCTCGGCTTTGTAATGCTAGACTTGACTCGGCTTTCTTCAGTCTAAGCTGTACTCTCTCATCCTCAGGTGTGCTTTGAGATTATCATTGCCACGTTGACATTAGGTGACACTGCATGTTAGCATGCATAATTTGGCTGGTACTACCTCTTTACCACGCGAACCTTCTAATAGCAATTTAACCTAAGGACCAACAGAGGTACCATCTTGGAAAGCTTGATTTACGATGATTTAACTCACACAGATGAACTCAGATTTCGCTTTATAGCATGTCAAACACTGGATTTACTGATTTGTTTGTTTTTCTATGAATTGTTCAGGCTAGTATCTGCAGCGATATTGATGGTCAAGAGTATTTAGACACCTGTGTGCCATCACTAATTACTACACAAGCTGTGTTTGCATATTTAAACCTGTGGCCCATTGCACATTCTCATGAAGTTGATGAAGCGCTGAGTGAGACTCGTTGCTCTTGTCAGTGTAATAAAACATCGCTGATTACATTTTTACTGGTTGAGCGTGCAGTGTCAGCCCCGGCCTCTCGTGGTTATTTTTTTTCTGGTTATTTGTTCATCTTGGCGGCATCCCCAGGCCTAAAGAAGATGCTGTGCGCTGAGCTCTTTTCCCTTCTTCACCTTTAAATTAGTGTTGAAACTGGGAAATGACTTCATTTCTTTTCCCTTTTTTGTTTTGTAGTTGGATTAATTGAGTTGTATGATAAAACAATATTTTTTTTAAAAAATCACTTGCGCAAAATTCATGAAAAAGAAACTAACTGTAGGAGAGGACCCATGTGTGGGAGGCTGTGTGCATATGTGCAGGCTATGTGCCTGTGAGACTGTGTGCACCTGGAAAGCACTTGACAGATGGTTCTTCAGCTCTAGCTGAACGTCGCTTCTTTTTTTCTCAGTGTTAAGCCTCTTTCATAGATGGAAAGTGTTTCGGTCAGCATTTTGATCAAGGTAAACTCTTTCAGCTTTCTTGATTGTTTGCCGGGCATCTCCAGAGTATGTTTATCCAGCCCCCATCATTTATTTTTGTTTGATTTAGGCGAGCCGAGAGAGATCAGAGCCGTGACTTTCTCCACTGCGTTTTCTACCTCTTTTTTTTTTTTTTTTTTTAAATTTGTTTGTTTTGCCAGTCAGATTACAGAGCGGTGCATCAGAAATCATTATATACCACATCGTATCAGCGCGTTTTCAATCTGTAGAATGGGTTTAGTACTTTACAGAGACAGTAAATATTTTGTTTGGGTTAATGTGGTCTTCTTCAAAGTACAGTAATCTTGTTCTTTCTCTGTTTGCACAGGCCAAACTGGTACAAGAAAAACAAGCTGACCTTATAAGATGCATCATAAGTTAAAGTCAAAACCTACCATGTCTTAGTAAGGTGTTGGGCCAGCATATACAAAGAGAACAGCTTCAGTGTGCTTTGGTATTGATTCTCCAATCTCTGGAGCTCTACCGGAGGGCTTGAGCACAGTTTTTCCAAAACATATTCCTTCATTTTGGGTTTTGATTGTGGTGGTTGACAGCACCTGTTCAAAAATCTATGCCCTATGTTCAAGACTAAGGAAAAACACTGACTGTTGTTTGGGTGAAGAAGCAGAAGAAGGTACTGCAGTTTCACGGCAGGATTTCCATCATCATCATACATGTCAAAACAGAAAAACTCTTTATTGCCTTGGGACAGAAAAGAGGATGGATGGATAGTTTGTATTTAATTGCAGTGATCCTTTCCTCCAAACCAGAGCCACTGGATCCTTTCACTCTGGGGTCAAGGGCTCAACTTTTCTTCTCAATTTTTCCCTATTTGTTCCAAAATTAGGTCAGACTTTCATTGCACTAGCTCGTCATTCTTCCTCTTCACATAGGTAATGTAGGGCAGTTTATAAATATTTTTAGCTCAGACTTTGGATTCCTAACAGGATAATTGATTTACAATTGTATCATTGGCAAATTCTATTTCCGAATGACTCTCTAATTTTGTCTTGTGTTTTGTTGGGGACTTTTGCCCCTCACTAGAAGCCCAAACTCACTCCACACATGGTAAAGGCATGGTTAGTTTGTGTATATGGTAGCGTCACGCAATACAGATTTGTCGGCTCCACATCTATGACACAAATCTCCTGTTCTATTATATCCTGAAGGTGCTCTATTAGATTGAGATCGGGTGACTGTGAAAGCCATTTGAGTACAGTGAACTCACTGTCAGGTTCAAGTAACCAGTTCGAGATGAAAATCAGCTGAATATGAGCAAACTAAGCCAAGTCTTACAAGAATGGACATGATAAGCACTAAGGGGCCCAAAATGTGCCAAGTAAATATCCCCCACACCTTTATACCACCAGTAGCCTGAACCTTTGATACAAGTCGGGATGTTTTCATCTTGTTTAGCTGTTAGCCAAATTGTGATCCTGCTGTCTTAGCATCACAGCAGAAATCGAGACTCATCAGACCAGACACAATTTTTTCCAGTTTTCTGCTGTGCACTGTTGGGGAACCGTGTGAACTGTAGCCTCCGTTTCCTTTTATTAGCTGACAGGAGTGGCACCCAGTGTGGTCTTCTGTTGCTGTAGCCCATTTCACAGGCTGTGTGATCAGAGATGCTCTTCTGCATACCTCGGTTGTAACTAGGGGTTACTTGAGTTACTGTTGCCTTCCTATTAGCTTGAAGCAGTCTGGCAATTCTTTTCTGAACTACTGATCACTAGCTAGTCTCTGTTTTTTTTTTTTTACCCATTCTCTATAAAGCCTGGTTGTTTCCCATCTGGCACCAACAACCATGCCACATTCAAAGACATTTAAATCACCTTTCTTACCCATTCTGATGCTCAGTTTGAAGTAAACAGGTCATAATGATCTTGTCTACACACCTAAATTCACTGAGCTGCTGCCATGTGATTAGCTGATCAAATAGTTGCATTAATGAGCAATTAGCGGTTATACCCAATAAAGTGGCCAGTGAGTATAATTAGATGTGACTCCTGACCAACATGGTTTAATTATACTGGTTTCAGAAAGTAGGAGGCATCATACAAAACCCTTGTAATTTCAAGTCAAGCAACACATGTATTTCTTCCCATAAACTATGTCTTACATAGCATAACTGTGGACATAGTAGGGCACAGCGAAAGGGAACGTGGCTTATCTCTGTCAGTAGTTGAGGATGTGCAGCCTGGTGCCTGCAGCTCACTGTGGCTGCTCCTTCTTTGATCCATTAGTGCCTGCCGTATTTCAAACTGCGGGAAGATGCTGAAAATGACCACTGTCTTGTTTTGTCGATGCATATTTGATGAATGATAGCCTTTAGTGCAACACTCACTGATAGACACTACATTTGCGGTGACTACTTCATAAAAAAGGCCATTTGTGTTTCGCCACTTACTGTAGATGCTTTTAATGTGAAGCTGCAGCAGAAGGAAATGTTCTGATCGCATTAGTAGCAACTAAATACAACTTCTTTTTTTTCCTTTTTTTCTTCCGGGAAAGTCACCACAGACATGGGTGATAATACCATGCATTGATAAATATTGCATTACTCTCAGCAGTGGGCCATAGAGCTCGATCAACACTGTGCTACCGCATTTGGCAATAGATAGATTAACAAGTGATGTTTCCAAAGTTGATGATTAATTGACCTCACTAATGCCATAACCAGCATAATTGCGAATTTTCATGATCATAATAAAAATACGTTTAGCATTCTCTTTGTACCATTAAAAGGTAGAGCTACTAGCGAGGACTGGATCAGATAATAAGCTGCAATGTGATCACCACTGAAACAGTCTGAGGTGAAAGTCCTTCTCCCCACAGTGTTAGAGGCAGCCTCTCATTGCAGAGTCAGATGAGGCCAAAGCATTAATCATAATAACATCATATCCTGCACTTAAAAGAAAAAATACAAATAACACAGACCCTTTAATACGGTTTAATTTGTTAGATGTTAAGGGGTTGTGAGTTTATGAAAACACTTGGTGTGTTGAGAAATATTGCTACATAAATATCACTTCATTTAGTTTACCAGCTAATTTTTAATCGGTGCAACCTTGTGTGCGTGAAAAAAAAAAAAAGATTTTACACTCATGCCGATGTTGAATTGTTGCCGTGTTTCCCTGTTAAATTGTCCTCCTAAATTTAGCATGTAGTCGGCAGCAGATGTTTGTGCCCTTTTTGATTCTGTGGGTAATAATCCTTAATATTCTCGCTGTTTGAAGCTAAATGAGGCTTTAATGCACTCTGATTCCATATCCTAGCTCTCATTAATTGTTTTTCTTTTTTTTTTTTTTGGAAAGTCCATAAATGATTATTATTATTTTTTTGGTAAGATAAACAAACTTTTAAGGATGAAATTTTAAATTCTCTCACAATCTGATTTGATTTGCGCATCCGTCCAAAAAGCTATTGTGCAGAAAAGGTGCATGACTAAAATATTTTTGTTTTTCCTTCTAAAAAGGAAGTGTTTGTGATCTTACTGGTGCTACTTTTTTTTAACCTTCGTTGTGTGAATGCATGTATTCCTGTTTAGCATCACACTGTCTTTGCCCTGTTACATCCTCCAACCCAGGTGCTGCTCACTTACTGTGTATGAAGTCTCATTAAAGGTGTTGCACAAAGCATTTGAAGCTTTTGTCACTAATCATCTCCTGTCGCCCTTTTTCCTTCCAGATGGTCACAAGAACAAAGAAAATATTTGTGGGTGGCTTGTCAGCCAATACAGTAGTGGAAGACGTGAAGCAGTATTTTGAACAGTTTGGGAAGGTAAGACTTGTTTTTTCTTATCACCGCGCGTGGTGTTGTCACAATAGCCCGCACTTTAGCGCTTCTCAATTCCCATTAAATGTTGGATTAACTCCGGTGTAACTTTGACCTCTTGACCAGCATCTCAGTCTTTATAGCTATCTCAAACGTTGAGCCTTAAGAGGAATCAGCAGGGCAGGTTTTTCCCTTTATCTTTACAGTTGAACAAATGAATATGTGTTTCGACAAGCAAACATCTGAAGATATAGTAGCTTCACGCAGTGCACCATGGCTGGTCAGCAACATGTATTTTACTTACAGAGCAAACAAGCAGTGACAACCAGCTGCCATGACCAAACCACCCTACAAAGAGGAAAAAAAACCCTCCGAACAATAACAAATAATGTTTTCTTTTTATCTGTGATAGCATAACATAAGAATCAAATACATCTCAGGATTGGAAATAAAGTTTCAACGGGGCTATTGTGACGGCATCGGCACAGCCTTGTATTTAGCTGTCTGTTTCTTTATGCTGCTGCTTCGTGCTGTTCTCACACGCAAATCCCCCCACCCATGAGTGAGGCATATATGCACACCCATCAATACAAGGACGTATATATAGCGCTCTCACACGCTGGCTCTAAAAGACGTGCGCATGCACACACACACACACACACACACACACACACACAAACAGTCTTTGATACAGTGGCAGCATTTCACAGATAATTTCCCCACACTGAGCAGAGATCCATTTCCCTCATGTCATAATCCACATCAGTCAAGGTCACCTTCAGCTGATACAGTCCCTGTAACATCAGCACTTGACCTTGAGTTTAAACAATTTTAGTGAGGATGGATTTTTCATGGGCACATAATGTACCGCGGTACTGACGGAGACAAAAGAGCCCTTAGAAATTAATAGAAACTGCATTTTTTTTTCTTGTTCAGAGACAATATGCAACCAGCTCTCCCCTATGAAACCCACTGTTAGTTTCTTGACTGACAGTGAGCAAGGTGAAGGACTTTGTTTTGCTCCCTTTTTTTCACTTGGAAGTGGCATCGAAGACCTCACCGTGGCCTGGCCTGCCATTCCAAATAAAGATAGCTTATTTGCACAATAGAACGCAGCAAGCAAATATTCAGCACGACTTTGCAATCAATGGATGTGAGAAAGGGCTCGAAATGATTTTCGACTTGATTGAATGACATAATTGACTTGATTATACAAAGTTTTTTCCCTCCTTGAGGAATCCTCAAATGCTTAGGAGGAAACAAACAAATCAGACTGATTGAGCGAGATCTTGTGCATGTTTCTGTGTGTGCTTTTATAGCCTACTTGTGCATGCTTGGATGTGTTAGCAGTACTGCTCTTGCCATGCGTGAGTGTGTCAGCGATTAAGTGTATTTATGTGGGTGCGTGATTAGGGCTGCGTGTGCGTATACGTGTGCACGTACATATGTGTGCGTACGAGCGCGTTTGAGTGTCTTTGGCACAAAAAAAAGAACATCAGAGGTTGATACTTGGGGCTATGGCAGACAAGATACAGAGCAAAAAAAAAGAAAGTGGTTCTCTCTGTTTTGTGTGTGTCCTTTCTTTCAGCCTTACACATCCCAGGATTTATTAAATAACCTGCCTGTCAGTGCAACCTACCATTATCGCCACATACACACCACTCTGAAGACTTATCCACAGAAGGAAAAACCAATTAATTCAGTTTCCCCTTCATAGAATCTTGGTGGCACTATGTGTGTCAGTCTGTCAGTCAGCCATCAGTCCGTCTTTCTGTCTGTCAGCCTATGTGCATGTCAAGGGGGACATTAGCCAGCATGGTGGCAGGGCAGCTAGTCATTTATATTTCTGGGAAGTCTGTTTTGAAACACTTATCAATCATCAGAGAACTACAGCTTAAGGCACCAGCGAATGTTCTTTCTCACTGGGAACAGGCCATTTCACTGATATTATTTAGCAACTCCTCATATATATATATATATATATATATATATGTGCGCGTGTATCTGTGTGCTATGTTGCCAATTAGCAGGATGTGGTCTGCAGAGAAGGCGGTAGTTGGGAGGCAGCGAAGGAGAAACAGCTGGTGTGGCCACAATTGGGTCACAGGTTTTGTCTGTAACCTCCACACCTCCTCTCCCTCCCACCTCAGTCCCTCCCTTCTGTCTCCATTCTGTCACGGTGGAGATGTGGCATTTGTTATGGGCAGAGGCTGACAGCTCTCATGCACATCAGTCTCACTGCCACTCTCCCAGCCGTCACTATTAGGAAAGTGCCTGAGCCTGGCACAACTTCAGAGGAGCTGCTCCACAGCCAGATACACTTTTTTGTCACCTACAGTACATGCTGGAGGTGTGCATTTGAAGTGATTGTGACAGTCATTTGAATGGAACTGAAGTGTGGTTGTGTTTGACTGATTCTAATGCATCTCAGATGGATCCCATTACCTGCCTAATAGTAGCCACATCCTGCCTTCCATTTTTTTTCTATTTTCCCAGGCTGCACACTGCACTTTAGCCCTGCAAGCCAGATGAGACAATCTTATCAGTACTGCCTGGCCTCCCTTTATATTCAAGGACTCTTAACTGGAGGCTGCTGCTGCTATTTCTGTCTTGCAATAAAGTCAAATTAATCATTGTGCTGTTTGTGCACTATGTGCTACTGTGCAGACTTTAAGAAAAGACTGTTAGCCTTTACATATAGCACTTTTGGTCAGTTCCCCTCATATTTAGACCTTTCTTGTTGACATTTTCCCCATTTCTTTAATCTCATATTGCTAGGTGTGCAATATGCACAGTCACTTGTAAGCATTCTTAATTCATTTAACTCGTCAAAGCTGCCTTTGCTTTTGTCTGTAGTTTGCACAACAACAACAACCCCCTGCAGACTGCTTTTGTTTCTGCCCTGCACAGTGGTGTCACAGCGACCAAGGTTTGAGCTATTTCCCACCGAATGCTGTGTAGATGGATCTATCATTAATAAGATTACTGCAAGAAGTTAATTTGATGATTGGAAATTCATTAAAGCCTTAGTCCTAATCACTGTACATCACCACCTGTCAAGCTAACGTTCTCCACTGCGATTTAGACCCCATGAGCAACATCTCGGTCTCTACACTAGCTTTAATGTGAGCCCTCAAAGAAGCCAGCAGATCAGGTTTGCCTGTTTTCTGCCAGCAAGATCGACAAGATAAATAAATGTGTTGTGAACATGCAGTTGATAGGCAGTAGCTTCACAAAGCCCATCGTGTGGCATGCTCAGACACCATATATTTAGTTAAGTACTTAACTAAAAGAAATTTGTGTGCATAAATTGGTAAAGTTTTCCTTTAAACTATATCTGTTGGGTTGCTGTCTAGATTCAAAATAACTGAAATAATAAAGTTTTCATATTAGGCAAAATTTTGTTTTGGACTTAAGCAAGTATGTCATTATCATTTTCCAAACTCTAATAGTATGCCGATGTCACCAAAATGTCGCTGACGTAGGCACTTGATTAAAGATGGGAGTAGGTTTGTTGACACCTCAGAAATTTGCATGCGGTGTGCAACCCGAGGCCTGCCCTGGCCTTAAACGAGCTCTCCCTGCAGTTAAAGTCCTAGTTAGCTGTGTTGGCTAATGCTTCCTCATTGGTTTATTGTAATCGGCTTTGAGTGCGTCTCATAGTGCCTTTATTTGGCTGAGCTGAAACAACTACAGCTCACTGACTCAGTTCCTGCAGACCTGAAGCTGACGGTCAGTTTCATCAGAACTACTTGCTTCCATGTCACTGGGCTGCCACAATCATTCCTTTATGTTTAGGCGGTCCTAGGTCTCTTGCTCCACTGGTCTAGAGCCAGATCCCGGAGGTGGAGCTCAGTGGCAGCAGGAGAAGGAGGCGCTTAACCAATTCAGTGCCACTGGGCTCAGGAGCAGTAAAGGTAGACACATAGTTTATCACTGAGTTATAAAATACAGCAGTGGTCTTACAGTGGAAAAAAAAAAAAAGAAGAAACAAATGGCAGATGAGAGATGTGACTGCTAGAGTGATGGCTTGTGTTGGAGGACACTGGAAGGATGAGTGAACTGATGGAAAGATCACTGTCAGAGCGCCTTCTCCCAGCCGAGAGCCGCTATGTGCTGTTTCACCCTTGGCTAGGGAACTAGCTGCATACTTCTCTTATACTTTCACTGAAAGGAAGCAGATGAGAGGCAGAATTAAAATGCAGGCATCGGAAAAAGATTCCTTGGTTAGTGCATGAAATTTGTTCTGTGGCTCTGGTAATCTAATACCACGGCTGACATTTTGCGTGCCCTTAGATTTTGTAAATGGCAAAAAAATAACTCTGTGACCGCCTGTAAAGACCGTATGAATTAATTTTGCATACCTGCCCAGGGTCCTTAAAGACATTCAAGGTTTTCAGGTATTCAGAGAAAAAAAGCAGCCCTGATGACAATGATCATTATAGAATATAGAGTACTGTGGCATGCCGTTCTCGCAGAGCCCATTTCAATCAGTGCTCAGAGATTGCAAATCACAAATAATAATTGATCTCATCACTCCTGTCTTATCTGTTTGATTTTAGATTAAATTTAACCTACGATGGCACTTAGGCTCTTTCAACAACCCATCCACTGAGCTTAAAATAGAAACGGTTAGCATGCACATTAATTGCACTTTGGGCTTGTTCACATGTTCAACATGTTCATTGGCTGAAATGGCAGACATGGATGATCATTGCAGAAAAGTACACTTCACGCGAGGGAAAGGAACCTAATCAAAAGGCCACAGTTCTTCATTCCACTTCCTCGGCTGGTGCAGGTGCACATTTGCATGCCATTTACATGGTAGCTCACAGTGACCACCACTACTCCATCGTCTCGGTGTCCATCATCTGCTGACATTCTGTGATTGTTTCCTCTCTGCAGTGACTCCCCCAATCAGCCGAGGATATAGTCTGGTTCCAGTGATTATAAGGAGTGATCAGAGCAGCAATGATGGAGCTTGTGCCTTGCAATGGAGATTTAGC